CCCCAAAACCCCAAAACCCCAAAACCCCATGTGTTACTGTATAGTTTTATAGAGTAGATATATGAAACTAAGAATTAAATGGTTTTGTTTTAAGTTTTAGGTTTAATTATTGATATTACATCGAACGAGTTTATATGATTATATATTGATATAGTAAGACCTCCTAGTTAGTCTAGGGTGCCTTTATCAAATCCGGATTTGATATTAATGGAATAGGTAATAGAGTGGTTTCAGAATGAAGGATAAAGTCTTGATTCTTGAATCCCACCTTATAGTTATTACTCAAGTTTCCTCCTTAGTTTAATTTGGAGGGCTTCAGTAGCAATCATGTGTTGATTAAGCTCGAGGGACATTTGAGTTGAATCCTCGATTCTCTGTTTGCAGACTTAGTAAATATCTTTATTCTTGGCAGCAATGATGCCTGTTTTTATAGTGTGAGATTGGGAATCCTCATTGTATTGAATAGGCTTTTGATAGGCATCAGTAACTACTCCAAATCTTGCCGATAAAATAGCTTCAGATCCGCACATATCCCAGTTTTTAAATCCGGGAACAAAGTTAAGATAGTAGTCAGATCTATTTTCAGCTAGGTGGACAAACTTGTTGCCTGAGCCAGCGACTCTCTCTACACTTTGGGGTTATAGAGCTTAGATGATGTGGTTCATTTTGTATTGATTTTTGTTGTGAGAGCCACATACCCTAGGTTGGAAATCTTCCTGATTAATCGAGGATTCACCGATACTGAAAGGCTCCACGTGAATTGATTGAGGCTCGGAAGATTTTCCCCCGCAGTTATTGACTGAGAATAGACCACATTGTGGGACTCCTACTAGGGTCCTCCCGGTGTTGCTGGATTTATCAGGACTAAAGGGCTTGTGCACGATTCCAAAAAGAGGTCTATTTTTAACTGCTACTCCGATGATGCAAGTTAGATGCTCTGTGTGACCTTCAGCTAAACCGCTGGAACCGTCTAATGGGTCAATCCAGATAGTTAAGTCCTTTTAGTCATACTCATCTTAGAAGTTGTTTTCTAGTCCTCTTTGAACATCTGAGGCATGAATGAATTCAGGATTCAATTATATCAATTCATTCAAATGTTTTTTGTATTGAGTTCTTCTGAGTTTTGAAGAATTTGAAAGAATTTCTGGGGTGAAGACGGGCCTTGTTGTTCTTTTTTTGATGACTTAATCTGGCTGGAAATTGGGTCTGATGTGCATTGGAGAAGCTGAATCATCTTCCTCACAAATAGTTTTCACATGTGAGTAAAGTTGCTTGAGATTGTGAGAGATGGTTTTGTGCATAATCAGATCAGCTTCAGAACAGACGTCCAGTGAGGAAATCCCTTTCTACACGATGTTGAAGCTGCCAGATCTTTGTACTTATCTTACTGCTGGTGCTGATCTTTGAGCGAGAATCACGCAAGTGTTTATCAGCTCATGAATTTTGACTGTTTTAGAGACCATTTTAGTGATGATTTATCTTTAGAAATATAATTATACAATGACGTTGCATTTGTAATATAAATTAAAGTAAACTAATCAACTAAAAGGGATATTGAAGCAATATAATACTAAAATCTAAGAGACTCTTGATAATTCAAATAATTATAATAATTTCTAAATCTATATAGTTCCTGAATTTTATTGGATTTTAAATTCTATTACGTAATAGCATTATAAACATTGCGGGGTTTTGGGGTTTTGGGGTTATATTGCT